TTTCTGCTAAGATATTTATTTTGTTGAGGAAACAGGATTGAAAAGAGATTTTTTATCACAACAGTTCTGAAAGTTCTGCCTCAGATTTGTTTGGCATCAAGACTTTGTTCTGACCAGAAAGAAAAGTTTAACACTTGACTTTCACTCAGGAGCAAAAATCAGTCTTTAAACCTGAAAGAAATAAGATTTGATTTATCCTGATAATTGCTGATATTTTATATTTTTTTATCGTATCGCTCAGCCCCACTTTATCATCAGAACACCTGACTCATGTCCACAGATCAATCCCTCCACCGCCGTGTCTCTACTTTTCTATTACATATTTATTTAACCCGGTAAAGTCTCATGCTCTGAAAGATCATTAAAGCTCCTGACAGACGCTTCATCAAACTGCAACATGATTCATTTTGACGTTTAATACGACCTCTGCTCCCACTGAGACGCCACAGCTGACTCTTCATATCACCCACTAAACTAAATCTCTTCTCACGTCCGCTCAAAGGCAAAAGTACTGCCTCGTTCACCAGGAACACCGTCACCTGGTTGGTCATCAGTGTGAACACAAAGTGATCAGCTGTTCTCTGCTGTTACATGAAGCTGCTGACCTGCTGTTCTCTACGGCCTTCATGGCGTATTCCACCTGAAACACTCGGCCATCTGGAGAGAAGGTGGAGGCCGACAGGTCGTACTGCAGGTGGAGACAGACTTGATGTTAGCAGGTTCACACCATTCACCTATTCGTTAATTATACAACACAATAACTCAAAGTGATTTCAAACCCAAATCAAAGTGTAAATTAATATGAGGGTGTTCATCAGTTCAAAGGTTTTCAAATGAATGAAGGTCTGTGTGGCTACCAAACACTGGCACAATGTTTGGTGTGTTTTAGCTGTGAATTCAGGATTAATTACAGGACTGTTGTTTCATAATGTGCTCTAAATTTATTAAAATCCACTTTCACCTCATATGTAGTAAGTTACAATCTACTGTCACCAAACTTCACATTATATCTCATCGTTTGAAATGTCCCACTGACAGCAGCACAGGACGGATGTTTCAGCTCTGAGCTTTATTTTATCTGAGGCTGTTTATTATTTAAGGCTGTTTGGTGAATCAAGAGAAGCCCGGATGAATTTAAACACTTAAAAACATTCACAGAAAGTGTTGTGCGTCTTCTTCATGGAGCGAACTTCAGTTCACATGCAAGGAGAGTTAAATGCGGTGTATTCTAAAGGGAGTTTGGCGTACACCGGAGCTAACTGTTAGCATCGACTCTGCTTAACGTTCCCGTCAATATCACTAATTTATATCACTAAAGTGACAAAAACTGTGACGAAGCTACGGCGGGATGTTTGTTTTATTTCTGTAGGTTTTAAAGTTTTCACAGCAAACTGAATCTAAATTAAAGGAAAACTTAAAACTTTGTATACTTTCAATTTCAGTTTAGCTTCTGCTAGCGGGCCTCGTTGTGACTCAGCAGGCTAACACGCTAGCTAGCCAGCAGGCTACAGGCTTCTATGAATGATTTTCAGAATAAAAGTGGATTATTTCCCTGTAAACTGGATTCAATGTGACACAGAAACATTGGGCGTGAAGTTGAAGTGAAGTTCTGCTCAGACAGACAGTGAAACACTCACCCCGGTTCCGATGGAGCTCATTTTAACACCAACTCTGGATCCGGTCAACTGCTTTCAGCCCGCTGCGCCTGCGCGTCATCCCACTGTCAACGTCACCGCGGTCATACGTCAGCTTCCGGCTCCGGCCTTCACAATAAGAGCCTAATTTTAAAAAATCTTCCTTCCAAAATAATCTCAATGAAGCTCCATTTATTAGCTTTTTCTGGAGCTTTCGATCATATCACATGGTTCTCTTCAGCACACATAAAAGATAAAACACGTTATATGAGGGAGAAACAAATTAACATATATCCAGTAAAATAACAGACTTTTTAACAGAGTAATTATAATAATAATTGATAATAACTGAGACACAGAGTCGGAGAGATATTGTTTTTCAATACAAATCAAATTAAAATTGGGATTGTTTTGGGTTCCAGCCTCACAGATGTGAAACAACATGAAACATTTTCAGAGAATCAAGCAGAAGCAAATCTTCTGAAAAATCTCCAGAGCAGCTTCTATCCACAGTAAGGACATTTAAAGAAAAGATGACTAATGGATGCAACTTCTAGTTTACAGAAGGAACTGTTTTAAATGAGTTTAATAATTTATTACAGGGTCAGCGTCTATGTGAAACTTTCATTTGAACAAAGTTTCCCGCACGTCTTCCTGTTTTCCGCGAGCTTGACACAGCTGCACTTAAACACCACAGAAGAAGACTTCTTCCGTCCTGCGCGGGTTCTCTGCCGCCGCCTGCTGCTGCGGAGTGACGCAGCAGTGACGTCACATAAGGTTTGTTGTTTTGATCTGGGGGGGGGATTAAAAATTAACCACATGTTGACAGTTTTCAGCCTTTCTGCTGTTGGATGTATAAATTAAATGGATATAATGTACAACCTCCTGAAATGTACAAAGTTGACTTTTTTATGGCTGAACAGAATTTTGCCGTTACAATTAATATTTTATTATAAAAAACTTTTCTTTATTTTGACTTCTCTAAAAGCAAAATACCACATTCTCCCACATTAATGCTAAATCCCTTTAAATATGGTCAAAGATGAATCTGCTGAAGTTCAAAGGAGGCGCAGGTAGTTTCTGGGTGGTCTCTAACAAAAAGACAGTTCTTCACGAGCTGCAGTGAAATGTGACGTAACCGAATACAAACAGGTGCAGAAAATTAGAATATCGTGAAAACGTTTTTTTTCTTCCCGTAATTTAGGTCAAAAGGTGAAACTTTCACATATTCTGGATTCATTACACAAACGTTTTTATATTCTGATATTTTAATATTTTGAGATATGGGCTTTTTATTTCCATGAGCTGTAATTACCAAGATTAAAGCAAAAAAGGCCTGAAATATTTCACGTTGTGTCTTATAAATCTAGAATATATGAAAGTTCCACTCTCGTCTTTGTGGTGCAGCAGCAACGTCACCATATAAACATTTCATGCCATAAAAAGTTTAACAAATATTTCCTTTAATAATCAGCTGATCGTTTGTGTCCGTCTGTGTGTTTAGGTTCTGCATGATGTACAAGTACAGACCTGAGAACCTGTTTGTAGCTGCTTCTGCTAAAAAAATACCTAAAATGTTCAGAAACATTTTGAGAATTTAGTGTCAAGCTCACTGACCACAGGATTTCTCTGATGTACCCGCCCACAACAGAAACCTCAGACCAATCAAAACTGTTGTTACACATCAACAGTAGTTAGAAGCCATTTGGCAGAAATGCCAATCAAATGAAACTGTAGCGACTAAATAATATTAATATATCTGTGTTGATGTTTCAGAGACTCATCAGCTGGTCCTGATATTCCTGACCCCCGATTCTCTGCTCTTTATCTTATTTATGTTGAAAACCTGTGGCGACCAGGTAGAGGCGGGGCCTAAAAACCTGTGGCGACCAGGTAGAGGCGGGGCCTAAAAACCTGTGGCGACCAGGTGGAGGCGGGGCCTAAAAACCTGTGGCGACCAGGTGGAGGCGGGGCCTAAAAACCTGTGGCGACCAGGTAGAGGTGGGGCCTAAAAACCTGTGGCGACCAGGTGGAGGCGGGGCCTAAAAACCTGTGGTGACCAGGTAGAGGTGGGGCCTAAAAACCTGTGGCGACCAGGTAGAGGCGGGGCCTAAAAACCTGTGGCGACCAGGTGGAGGCGGGGCCTAAAAACCTGTGGTGACCAGGTAGAGGTGGGGCCTAAAAACCTGTGGCGACCAGGTGGAGGCGGGGCCTAAAAACCTGTGGTGACCAGGTAGAGGCGGGGCCTAAAAACCTGTGGCGACCAGGTAGAGGCGGGGCCTAAAAACCTGTGGCGACCAGGTGGAGGCGGGGTCTAAAAACCTGTGGCGACCCGGTGGAGGCGGGGTCTAAAAACCTGTGGCGACCCGGTGGAGGCGGGGCCTAAAAACCTGTGGCGACCAGGTGGAGGCGGGGCCTAAAAACCTGTGGTGACCAGGTAGAGGCGGGGCCTAAAAACCTGTGGTGACCAGGTAGAGGCGGGGTCTAAAAACCTGTGGCGACCAGGTGGAGGCGGGGTCTAAAAACCTGTGGCGACCCGGTGGAGGCGGGGCCTAAAAACCTGTGGAGACCAGGTAGAGGCGGGGCCTAAAAACCTGTGGTGACCCGGTGGAGGCGGGGCCTAAAAACCTGTGGTGACCCGGTAGAGGCGGGGCCTAAAAACCTGTGGTGACCAGGTAGAGGCGGGGCCTAAAAACCTGTGGTGACCAGGTAGAGGCGGGGCCTGAAAGGCTGTGGTGACCAGGTGGAGGCGGGGTCTAAAAACCTGTGGTGACCAGGTGGAGGAGGGGCTGAAAAGCTGTGGTGACCAGGTGGAGGCAGGGTCTAAAAACCTGTGGTGACCAGGTAGAGGCGGGGCCTAAAAACCTGTGGTGACCAGGTGGAGGCAGGGTCTAAAAACCTGTGGTGACCAGGTGGAGGCGGGGTCTAAAAACCTGTGGTGACCAGGTGGAGGCAGGGTCTAAAAACCTGTGGTGACCAGGTGGAGGCGGGGTCTAAAAACCTGTGGTGACCAGGTGGAGGCGGGGCCTGAAAAGCTGTGGTGACCAGGTGGAGGCGGGGTCTAAAAACCTGTGGTGACCAGGTGGAGGCGGGGCCTGAAAAGCTGTGGTGACCAGGTGGAGGCGGGGTCTAAAAACCTGTGGTGACCAGGTGGGGATTTGTGGCGAGCTAATCTCTTTCTTCTTCTGTTGTTGTTAAAGGATGACGGGACACCCTGGACTCAACACCAACAAAGCACTTTCTAAATGTTTGACTTCTGAACGGAACCATCATGGCGCACCTGAAACCTCCAGCCAATAAACGCCCAGCGCTCTGAGCTCCTGTCCAATCGGAGAGCTTCTTTCAGTAAACGTCGACACAGAGGAGTTTAAGAAAAGTGTCCATAAGTTTTATTGAGTCTCAGTATGACCAGGGAGGGTTACAGACCTGCTGAAGGTTAAACAACTAAAATGTTGTGAAGTTTATAATCATCTCTTTTTCTTCTTCTTCTCTTTTTATTTCTCTTTCTGTCTCCACTCACTAATGGAAGCTTTGGTCACAGAAGAAGAGTGAAAAACATTCGTGTACAGTGAAATTTAAAAAAGAAAATAAAGATCGGGAACAAAAACAGATTTTTAACTTTTTCTTTACAACAAATGAAACTGATCGACGTTAAGGCAAACAGACCGTCAGCTGGAGGACAGGAAGAGGTACAGGCGGGGACGAAGGTGATGAAGAGGACGAACTAATACAAACATATACAGGCTGTCTTTAGTGACATTACACTTTAATAGGAACGGGAACCGAGAGCTGGACGCCGTCACACAGCAGCAGCAGCACAGGAAGTTCACCGACACATTAAAACCACCCACACACACCGCCAAAATAAGAGAACAGAAGAGGAAGAAGATGAGGACAGAGCGACACGCTGACGGCGGCTGAAGCAACAACAGAAAGACAGAAAGACGTCGAGCTGCAGAGAAACTGCTCGAGTCCTGAAAGTCTCTAAAGATCCTTCCTCAAAGACCAACAGGAAACAATCTCCTTCGCAGGAGATTCAACGCGCTCTGAAGACGAGAACTTGTTTCTCTGGTGGATCATCGAGCTCTGAGGACTTTAAGAAGGAAACAGGAAACACTTCTCTGGACTCTCAGGACTCGCAGGGACCTGCAGGTCAGATGAGGATCAGCTCCGCCTCCTCTGAGTGATGTTCACATGTTTGAATAGGATCCGCCAGACCCCCGGAGGATCTGAGCCCAGAAACATAATCAATACCTGTGTCTGACTTGGCTTCTGGACAGCAGAATCTCACCCAGCAGGAGGGGGCGCTGCTGAGCCACGACACGTTAAGTGTTTAAAACTGATCGACTACGTATCTCACTCAAATTCTACCAACACGCCGTTATGACTTCGTTTCGTAATCAAGAAACTCGAAGACACAATAAACCGAGAGACGCGGCTGCCACAGATGACGCTAACGCTAGCTACTGAGACAGCTTAGAATTACGTCCCGCCTCCTGCTCTGCCTCTGATTGGATAATCCTACCTTTAACCTTTGACCAATCAGAGGCAGAACTGAGCTTCTTCTTCTGGTGTTTTTGTCAGAGAACATCAGCGCCTCCTTCTGGTCTGGAGGAGGGTTGACCCTGATTAAACCCTAAATGGAAGCAGAGAATCGTTCCCGATGGAAATAAAACATTTACAGTTTCAGACTGAATGTAATTCAGATGTTCGACGTTCTTTACGATCGTGTTTGGACATTTGAGAAGTTCAGGTTTGTGTTTCTGTCGACAGAGGCGCTCTGGGATGACTCCAGATGAATCTGAACTCTTTAGTTTCATGTGAAAATCACTCAGGAGAAGAGGCTGAGATCCACTCTGGGACAGGTGCTGCTGCACAGAGAGGGAGGAGGAGGAAGATGAAGAGGACGGTGTCTGGTTAGTGATGAAGACGACAGACTTCCTGTCTTTTTTAACCCTGTGCTCTCTCTCTCTGGTCCAGAGTTCTCCGTGTTGTTCGTCCGTCCGTTCAGGCTCCGCCCACAGCGAGCGTGCCCATGTGGTTGTGGGTGGGGCGTGAACAAAGGGGCGTGTCCAGTTTGGTGTAGGCGGGTCACACAGTTAAGTGTTACCTTTCAGGACGCCCAGACAGCTCTGCAGCAGCTGCAGGTTCCCCTGCAGGTGAGAGGGGCGGGGTCAGAGACACAGGTGAACACCCCCGCTACGAGCTTCAATGCTAACTGCTGCTAAACCGCTAAACCTCAGAGCTATTCCTACTTCTGCTGCTGTTTAACACACAACTCTCTGTTCCCCCTGCTTCCAGTCTCTGTGCTAAGCTAGGCTAACACTTCCCCCTGCTTCCAGTCTCTGTGCTAAGCTAGGCTAACACTTCTCCCTGCTTCCAGTCTCTGTGCTAAGCTAGGCTAACACTTCCCCCTGCTTCCAGTCTTTGTGCTAAGCTAGGCTAACACTTCCCCCTGCTTCCAGTCTTTGTGCTAAGCTAGGCTAACACTTCCCCCTGCTTCCAGTCTTTGTGCTAAGCTAGGCTAACACTTCCCCCTGCTTCCAGTCTTTGTGCTAAGCTAGGCTAACACTTCCCCCTGCTTCCAGTCTTTGTGCTAAGCTAGGCTAACACTTCCCCCTGCTTCCAGTCTTTGTGCTAAGCTAGGCTAACACTTCCCCCTGCTTCCAGTCTCTGTGCTAAGCTAGGCTAACACTTCCCCCTGTTTCCAGTCTCTGTGCTAAGCTAGGCTAACACTTCCCCCTGTTTCCAGTCTCTGTGCTAAGCTAGGCTAACACTTCCCCCTGTTTCCAGTCTTTGTGCTAAGCTAGGCTAACACTTCCCCCTGCTTCCAGTCTTTGTGCTAAGCTAGGTTAACACTTCCCTTGCTTCCAGTCTTTGTGCTAAGCTACGCTAACAGTTCCCCCTGTTTCCAGTCTTTGTGCTAAGCTAGGCTAACAGTTCCCCCTGTTTCCAGGCTTTGTGCTAAGCTAGGCTAACAGTTCCCCCTGTTTCCAGTCTTTGTGCTAAGCTAGGCTAACAGTTCCCCCCAGTTTCCAGTCTTTGTGCTAAGCTAGGCTAACGCTTCCAGTCTTTGTGCTAAGCTAGGCTAACAGTTCCCTTGCTTCCAGTCTTTGTGCTAAGCTAGGCTAACAGTTCCCCCTGCTTCCAGTCTTTGTGCTAAGCTAGGTTAACACTTCTCTCTGCAGTGATTGGTTACCTTGGCGTGTTTCAGCTCCAGCTCCGCCAGCTCCACCAGGTTCTTCCTGAAAGCAGCCACTCGTCTCGTCTTGAAGTCTACGAGCTCTGCATCAGAACAGAACCACAGTTAGAGACGCAGCAGGTGGACCGCCACCTGAAACAGCTGAGCAGCAGAGGGGAGAACAGCTGGAACAGGAGCTAAACGTGTGATCCACTCTGGCTCAGACTGTTTCACCTCCTGCTTCTTCCTCTGGAGTCTAACTGCTGACCCTAAAGTGTGGCGCCTCGCTCCAGCTGGAAAAGAAGCGCCGGTCTGATCGTGGACTCACCTTGCTTGGCGGACTCGGAGATCTTCTCGAACTTGTGGCAGCAGAGCTGCTGGCTGGTCTCGGCCTGCAGGACGTCTCTGTTTTTGGCTCGAGCTTTATCCAGAGCCTTGTTAGCGTTCTCATAGTCCACCAGGGCCCGGCTCCTCCGGTACAGCAGGTCCTGGAGCATTTTGATAATAAAACATGATGATGAGAACAGAAGCACAGAACAGCGGCAGCCTGATGCTCCGGCTGTCAGGACGCACCTTTGCAGCCTGCGACTCCCTCAGGTAATATTTCAGCAGGTCGGCCAACTTCAGGTCTTCATCTGCTGCCACTCGAGCTTCGATCTTCTGTAAGACATCGACACACAGAGATCACGGTTTCACAATCGGCTGTTGGGTGAAGAATCAAACACGTTCAACGCGTCTTAAAGCCTCTATTTATAAACAGTGTGGCCAAAAGTATGCGGACAGGTGTGTTGTTGAGGGTCATCTGACAGCAAACGTACCCTGGTTTTCTCAAACAGCTCCGACACCTTCAGGAAGAACCTGAAACACAACGAACAGGAAGCAGGTCAGAGAAGTACCAAAAGGCAGCGCCGTCAACTGACCAACAGCTCAAATGAGTCGGATCGTACTTGCAGACGTCTGTGGAGTCCTGCGTTCCTAACGTGTAGAGAGACGAGGCGATTCTGTTGATGTCGTCTGCAGCGTCTGAACACACACATTACAGCACATAAAGCAGTTAGCTGACAGGAGCCGTCCTGACTTCTAGCCCCAAAACACTGGATCCTACAGTTCCCATGATGCACCTGGTGAGTCTTCCATTGGAGCCTACAGACGTTGTTAGAAAGTGGACTCTTACTTTTGTGCGAGCGGATCATCCGGTCAGATTTGGCCGAGGCGTCCTTCACCCGGTTGTGATATTCTAACAGGAACGTCTTCTCGTGCTCGAAGAAGTCGTCCACGTCCTGAAACACAGAAACAATCAGTCCGAATGAAACGTGAAGGAGAACCGATACGGAACCGCAAAACTCTGGTTCTTCTGTTTGTCACCTTGACTCCGGCCACCAGGACGCCGTCGGCAGACTTCACCACATTCTTAAAGAAATCCTCCAGCTTCTCCTTCTTGTTCTTCCCTCGTACGCTCAGCTGTCAGAGGGGAGAGGTCAAAGGTCACGCACACATATACAACATGGAACACACTGGTCTCCATCTTCATCATCATTTATCCTCTGGAGAACCACAACCTGAGATCCTCACCTCCCAACCGGACAGCAGCTCTAACTCTTGTTTTGGCATCGAAATGACTTCAAAGGTACAAAAACCTTTTGAATCAGTGCACTAAATCTCGTGACAGGCGAGACGTGGAGGAAAGGGATCCTTTCCATGATGTTGTCAGACCCCTGGTGTAACAGTCTGAGCCTGTCAACAAGAAGCTCTTTCTGTGGTTCAGCTGCCGGCCGAACACTTTCTGTACCTACTCATCATTTCAGCACCAACATATGTGGATTTAAAAACACTTCAATATACTAAAATTATCTCAACTCTTTGTCTCCTTACATTAAACTCTATGTTCGCTGTTAATGTCCGTGCACAGCAGCTGTAATGCATAAATGTCCAAGTGTGAGTTTGTGTCTGAGACTCGATCTGTTGCTTAAAGTTAAATTCTGTTCAGGAGACCCAGAGTGTTTCAGAACATCCAGCTAACAGCTACGTGTGCTCAGATCTCTTGTTTGTGGCTCAAATCTTTTTACATTTTTGTTCAGAGTATTTGATTTCTACATATTGTGCTATAAATACAGGTGCTGGTCATGTAATTAGAATATCATCAAAAAGTTGATATATTTCAGTAATTTCATTCAAAAAGTGAAACTTGGATATTATATTCATTCATTCATTCCACACAGACTGATATATTTCAAATGTTTGTTTTGTGATGATTAAAACTGACAACTAATGAAAACCCTAAATTCAGTATCTCCTAAAATTAGAATATTACTTAAGACCAATACAAAAAAAGGATTTTTAGAAATGTTGGCCAACTGAAAGTATGAACATGAAAAGTATGAGCATGTACGGCACTCAATACTTAGTTGGGGCTCCTTTTGCCTGAATTACTGCAGCAATGCGGCGTGGCATGGCAACGTGGATTCTGTGCCTCTCTCTCTTCCTCCAGACTCTGGGACCTTGATATCCAAAGGAAATGCAAAATTTCCTTTCATCAGAGAACATAACTTTGGACCACTCAGCAGCGGTCCAGTCCTTTTTGTCTTTAGCCCAGGCGAGACGCTTCTGACGCTGCGTCTTGTTCAAGAGTGGCTTGACACAAGGAATGCGACAGCTGAAATCCATGTCTTGCATACGTCTGTGTGTGGTGGTTCTTGAAGCACTGACTCCAGCTGCAATCCGCTCTTTGTGAATCTCCCCCACATTTTTGAATGGGTTTTGTTTCACAATCCTCTCCAGGGTGCGGTTATCCCTATTGCTTGTACACTTTTTTCTACCACATCTTTTCCTTCCCTTCGCCTCTCTATTAATGTGCTTGGACACAGAGCTCTGTGAACAGCCAGCCGCTTTAGCAATGACCTTTTGTCTCTTGCCCTCCTTGTGCAAGGTGTCAATGGTCGTCTTTTGGACAGCTGTCAAGTCAGCAGTCTTCCCCATGATTGTGTAGCCTACAGAACTAGACTGAGACCATTTAAAGGCCTTTGCAGGTGTTTTGAGTTAATTAGCTGATTAGAGTGTGGCACCAGGTGTCTTCAATATTGAACATTTTCACAATATTCAAATTTTCTGAGATACTGATTTTGGGGTTTTCATTAGTTGTCAGTTATAATCATCAAAATTAAAAGGAACGAACACTTGAAATATATCAGTCTGTGTGGAATGAATGTGTACATTATACAAGTTTCACTTTTTGAATGGAATTACTGAAATAAATCAACTTTTTGATGATATTCTAAATATATGACCAGCACCTGTATGCACAACTGCCCTCTACTGGTTAAACTGGACGCCTGAAGCGTCGTGTCGGGTGTCTGAAGGCGCCTGAAGCGTCGTGTCGGGTGTCTGAAGGCGCCTGAAGCGTCGTGTCGGGTGTCTGAAGGCGCCTGAAGCGTCGAAGCATCGTGTCGGGTGTCTGAAGGCGCCTGAAGCGTCGTGTCGGGTGTCTGAAGGCGCCTGAAGCGTCGTGTCGAGTGAAGGCAGGTGAAGCGTCGTGTCGAGTGAAGGCAGGTGAAGCGTCGTGTCGAGTGAAGGCAGGTGAAGCGTCGTGTCGAGTGAAGGCAGGTGAAGCTTTGTGTCGAGTGAAGGCAGGTGAAGCGTCGTGTCGGGTGTCTGAAGGCGCCTGAAGCGTCGTGTCGGGTGTCTGAAGGCGCCTGAAGCGTCGTGTCGGGTGTCTGAAGGCGCCTGAAGCGTCGTGTCGGGTGTCTGAAGGCGCCTGAAGCGTCGTGTCGGGTGTCTGAAGGCGCCTGAAGCGTCGAAGCATCGTGTCGGGTGTCTGAAGGCGCCTGAAGCGTCGTGTCGGGTGTCTGAAGGCGCCTGAAGCGTCGTGTCGAGTGAAGGCAGGTGAAGCGTCGTGTCGGGTGTCTGAAGGCGCCTGAAGCGTCGTGTCGGGTGTCTGAAGGCGCCTGAAGCGTCGTGTTGGGTGTCTGAAGGCGCCTGAAGCGTCGTGTCGGGTGTCTGAAGGCGCCTGAAGCGTTGTGTCGAGTGAAGGCAGGTGAAGCATCGTGTCGTGTGTCTGAAGGTGTGTGAAGCGTCATGTTGTGTGTTTGAAGGCATGTGAAGCGTCATGTCGAGTGAAGCGTTGTGTCGGGTGTCTGAAGGCGCGTGAAGCGTCGTGTTGGTTGTGTCAGCAGTGACTCACGTCCTGGTTGTACTCCAGGAAGACGTGGAAGTTTAGGTCCTTTCTGAGAACAGGATGAGCCGCTACACGACACAGGAAGACCTCATGCATGGCGACGGTCTTCTTGAAGATGGCCAGGTACTCCCTGAGAGAAAACACACAGCAGTGAGTGTGAAAAACTGAAGATGACCACTGGTGAACTCTTAGTTAGTGACTCACGCCTCCAGCTCCTGCTTCATTTTGGTGAATTCCTCCTTGGTCATGGATCCTTCTCCCTCCCCAAGCTTCTGCAGCTTCTCTCTGGATGCATCAAAGTCTGGTCTTGGGGGGGCAGGGGGGATCTGCACAACAACAAGCATCAGACTAAACATTCTCTCTTTATCCAACTCTAGTAATGTTCTGATGGCTGAACTGACAAGCGATGTTACGAGAACACATACTTTAGTACGAAGTCAACACAAAATTCTGAAAACTTCCAACACGTGGACGTTGGCAAATTCATCTACGGAAACCGGGGTGAAGTTTAATATTCAACATTTGTGGGTTTCTGCAGCTGCTAACTTCAACAGCTCCGTGTCAAAGTCTTGATTTCTCCAAGTTCTGGGATGTTGAAGAGCTAATTCAGGCAGACGTTTCACAGTTTGATCACCTGAAAATCACCAAAGATGACGATGCAGTTTGCGGCTCTAAGAACTGAACATCTGTCCAACGCGCCTGTTACTGTAGGAGCAGTTAGGGGTTGTCTTGAAAGGTCAACACGATCCATTTCACTCATCAATATCTGTTTAGTTTTTCAATATAAAAGTCTCAGACAACTGCTGATATAAATAAAGACCACCCCAAAACGTTTATAATTTGAAAGCACAGGGTCACGTGAATGGATGGCAGGAGATTATCGGGTTCATTTTGTCTCATCAGTCTGAAGCTCTACAGAAATGTCTGAAGAGCATTAAAGACAGGTGGAGAAGAGCCAAGTGCAGACAAGACAGTGTCGTCTGCATACATGTTGATGGAGGGATGTACCACCAATGTCCTCAAGGTCTAGACCTGGGAAACAGGCTGCTCTGTCTCGGTTTCTGAAAATGAGCTCTATGTTGAGAAGTCGACCACAAATATGAAGTTTAAACAGCTGTATTTCCTCATAAAAAACTGCATTCTGTGACACTAACAGCAGTATTTCAACTTAACAAGTCCACACAAGTCACCACCTGGAGCGAGCGAGAACACATTTGGGTATTAGACTGTACTTGGCTGGATAAAGACTTTTGAATTGGAACAGTACTAGACTAAGTGTCTCATAGGTGTTGCTCTGTGCCGACCCGGGCCTTTTCAACGGGAAACAACGCCGCTTACTGTGCTCCACGGCTACGACAGAACCACCAATGATCGGATTCGAGGCCAAACCTTCCAAACGATTCCACCAGAATCATAAGTTGGAACATGTTGCCCAGCCTCAGTCGTGAGGGAGTGTGTGTGCGGTTCTTACGATGTATCCTGCGTATTCTTCATTCTCCACAAACGAGTCGTGCAGCCAGATGAACTCTTCATGCTGTCGGACCACCGAGAACTCGTTCTGCTTAAAGTTGGGGAGCGTGCTCTGTGGAAACAGGAAGTACATCACCAGATCAGCTGATTAACGTCACTGTGTTATAACCAATTAAAAGAATCATCCATAAGCAACATCCATAAGAAATGATCTGGAGCCTGAATCATCATCGAGTGACGAGATTCATTCAGGAGTGTAGAACATGTGATCAATGGGGGAATTAAATACACAGGAATGTAAATTAGATGTGACACCTCAGGATCAGCTGCTTAAAAAATGAGTCGTTCCTCCTGTTCGTACATTAACCACCTCTTTGTGAACACTTTCAGCACGTCAGTGGTGGCGCTCTGTGCAAAGACATATTCTGAAGTTTAAATGAAGTTTTTCTGAGACGGCAGCAGCCCGAGTCTAACGGATCATTTAACCTTAAACCCTGAACCTTCACACAGGGAGGAAGCAGAGCGCTCTGAACTTCAGCGAACACTCGCACAGCCTCACCTTGGTGTGGACGGTGAACTTGACTTTGTCTCTCTCGCTCAGAGCGTCAGAGATGTCGACCTGCAGCGTGGCGTCCGTCTGCAGATCCACGTTCACCGCCCGCGACTGCAGGAGGAGAACAGAGACCACATATCCCATCATGCACCACACCCACTGACAAGCAGACATGCATGTGTGTGACGGCCTGCAGTGACTGCAATCACTTCCACTGATACCTGCAGAGCCTAAAAAGGACCCTTAAATTATAACATCAATAAAGTGTAAATGATGGAAACCAAACTTTAAACTCTTCCAGCAGGAAGAAGTTTCATAAAGAACATTTAATTTTACTTTGAAAGATCCATTTCATGTATTCACAAGCTTCCTGTGTGGGTCCACGTGGTCAGTTAGAAGAGGCGCCGGGCCGCCTGTGAGCTGAGGATCACGTCACCAACGGGGTTAGATAAAATGACACAACGAACACATTTGAGCAGGAAGTGATTGCTGAACGTGACGTCTGTTGTCTGGTATCAATAACAATAACTGACGTTTGTAGATCAGCGACGTATTAAAGAAAATAAAGGGAAAACTTATTTTATCACGTGTATTTTGAAGGGATCCTTATGTGGTATTTAAATTCTGTAAATATTCATGATGGATAAAATATCAGCAGGAAGCTTTAAATTAATTATAAAGCAGGAAGCTTTAAATTAATTATAAAATAGTTTAACGTTGTTCTGTTTCTTCACATTTCTCTACAGTAACTAGCCTCCTGATGCCAGCGTTGGATGAAGCGTTTACAAAGTCAGCGCAAAGACACGAAGCGACCGGAGCGCTGAAGGCGATGGAGCAAACTCAAAGTGAGCGACTGTGTGACCAATCACAATTGCCTATCAGCGTTCAGACTGTCCAGAGGTCAGCTGAAGGCTTCAGAGCGTGCAGAGGACAGAGACGGCGGGCAGAGAGGAGCGACGGAGTCTCTGCTGAGCTACAGGAGCTCTGGAGGAGAGAGCCGGGTGGCGCCGGAGCTTTGGACCAATAAACAGCGGCCGTCAGATTCTGCTCTGATAACTGTTCACTGACAGGAGGAGCTCACTGCAAACTGCTTTATTTAAATAACTTTTTACTTTAATCTGTGGGATTAAAACGTGGATTTATCTCCACTCAGCAGCAAGCTGCCCTGTTTCCTGCTGTTACTGTAGCTGCAGAGCTTCCTGTTTATCCAGAGCGACACACCTGGGGCCTGTACCCAATATTATGTAGCTGCAGTACCGGAGGCTGCAGTTTCAGGACCCCTGCAATCCTGGAACCGCAGCTGTGGGACCGCAGTTCTTTTGCGACAGCGCAATCTAGTGGAGTGGTGGTGCTAATGCACAGCAACACGAGGGAGGTTAACCCTGGGAGCTGTAGGGTTAACCAGCCGACATGCATATAATCAATAACTTAAGTTTAGGCACACACTCGGTGGAGGTTGTGGTGACGGTAACTGGCTTCCGGGGGCTGAACAAGAGTAACATAGTTAGCTAGCCAGCTAGCTGGCAGTATCAAAGTAAACACGGGTCCTAGAAATGCAGTTCTGGTCCTGAAACTGCAGCCTCCGGTACTGCAGCTACATGCTACTCCCTGCACCACGAAGCAGGATCTGAGCTTATCCAGGTAACTTCGGGGTTAACCCTGCTGGGTTTTCAGCACCACGAAGGTGGTTCACTTCTACCGTGTAGATCGCCATGGTAACTAAACGGCTAACCTGCTCCGGAGCAGGTTCTGTTCCAGATTAGAGATCAACTCTATGAAGACGTCGCCTACTGACCAATCAGCTCTCTAAGAAATGACCTCACCGCCTGTAGGAGATCCCACAGACTGTTTATAGGCTGCTTTCGGTTTGCTGCGGTGATACGGAGAAACTCTTGTCTACAGCGATATCATCCTACAGAGACTGATTAAAAGCCTCAGGTCACTGTAGACCTGCAGTTTTTTACAGAAAACTTACTAACTGCTCTGACATGAGTTTAATATTTTTGATTTGCTCCCAGTCCGACATCGGGCGAAAGGCGGGATACACGCTGGACAGGTCGCCAGTCCATCGCAGTTGGTAGGATATTAAAAGACTAAATTTATAATAATAATATGAACGTAGGCTGTTTATTTTAGATTAGTAGGCCTATAGCTTTCTTACAGGCTTCGTGGTACCGCTTATCCCGACCGTGATTGTTCGGGTAAGTGAAGCCAGATAACTGAAAGACATCCTGGGTATGTTGAACTCGCTTCGTGGTGCAGGACCCTGGGGGCTGCTGGGAGAAAAGAGACTAAGCTGAACGACCCGGAAGCTCAGAAAAAATACGAGTCTGTTACTTGATTCCAGCTGTCGTTGTGTTTTACTGTGAAACACGTTAGCTCAGCTCTGATCAAACCAAACCCCATTCAGAAAACAAGCGTTTTAAAAGCTGTGTGCTTGTCATCTGGCTGGCAGACCAGACAGAGCAGGAAGTCACATGTTTAACAGATCAGCATCATGACGTCGTTATTTCAGCATCAGTTTGATCTGTTTACTGAAACTAAATCACAGCTAAATGTTTATTTTGGGTTCATCCAGCCGCAGAGATGGCGGGTTGTGTTTATTCACCTCCAGCGGTCAAACTCACGTGAGAAAAACAACACGGGGATTAAATTTGCGTTTGGTCTGAAAGTCAGTCATGTGATCCGTTCACCGCTGGTTTGAGTCCGAACATGCAGAACGTCACCAGAGTTTTCTGGCTTTCTCTGGTATGAAAACATTATTGGAGCTGAAAGGATCAGCTGATTCACTGATGTTCATCCCGACACGTTAACTGGGTCATTATTTAAACAACTCTGGTTCTGGCTTTCCTCTGCAGCTGGACTTCATGTCTCTGTTTGGGACTGCTGGTCTGAAAACCGTCTCACTCAGAGACCAAAGTACTAATCACGTGACTCAGTAAAGAAAACAAGCGCCCAGCTGCAGCCACAGACCAGAACCTGAGTCCTCTGAACCTGGTCTCACAGAGAAAGAGGTCTCACTCTGCTCGGTTCCTCTGGACTTTCCACATCTGACTTTAACTAAGGCGAATTAACTAATTAGCATCCGAGCAGTGTGTGTGTCATGTGACAGCTGTTAGCTTCTAGCTCCGTTAGCTGCTGAAGCTATGGGCCTGCAACTGGGTCTGTGTTCGGACCCCCAGCTGGATCTGTGTTCGGACCCCCAGCTGGATCTGTGTTCGGACCCCCAGCTGGGGGGACCCAGTACAGCTGAACGACGCCGACTGTAGCCCGTTAGCATGAAGCTAACGTTAGCCAACACGGCGAACCTGGCTAAGAACCAGAGCTAACGCCAAGTTAGCCGCTTTAGCTGAGCCGAACCGGAGCCAGCGCTGACCCGGACACACAGACAGGTGAGCGGGGACAGACAGGTGAGCGGGGACAGACAGGTGAACAGTGAGCACTCACTCCCCGGTCCTCCTCGGAGAGGAAGTCGGGTCCATCGTCCAGCCCTTCCTGCTGCGGAGACACAGAGCAAAGAGCCGTTAGTTTACCGACACAGCGGCGGCCCACTGACCGTAAAACAACAACACCACGGGCCCCGCAGCACCGGCGGCCCCCCGGGGCCCGGTACCGAGAAGATAGAAGAGGAAAAGCAGAGGGAGAGGCGAGAAAAGAGTGGAACCCACCATCATGGCTGCCAACGGGTGGAGACCGGAAGTGCTGTGACGTCACGGCGGACAGGCAGAGCTTTAGTCAAACATTTAATTTTTAGATTAAATTTATTAAGAAGATTTCGACTCGTTTTCACCCTGAAAATCCTAAAATAAAGTTTAAAAAGAATAAAAGAAAGATTCTGACGTTCCAGCAGAGGAGAGGTTCATTATTACCAGCAGAGTCTCGGGGCCACATCAGGATTATTTACTTACTTACTCTCGAAATGCAAAAACTAAATTAAAAAAAATCTTCATCCTTACTTGTCTCCTTATGTGGCCCCGAGACTTTGGACTGCTGCGCCAGGATGTCATTTTGGGGTTTTAGGAATCTTAAAGACAAAAAACTTTTGATTCATCTTAAAATACAAGATATAAAGTTCTCCAACGAAGGTTAAAGTCAGGGCAGCTGGACTTGGTTGAAGATACTGGAAGACGTTTCGTCCCTCATCCAAAGGACTTCTTTAGTTCTGACTGACTGGCAGGGAAACTCAGCTATTTAACCTCAGTGGGGTCGTTGGCCCGGGTCATCGATACCGCTGGTTCGTTAGTGTTCCTTGTTGCTGTGACGACAGTCGTTACAGTACTTACATCTGAAGGACAGAGGACACTCGTTTGAGGACCACCAGGTGCACATTTTAGACAGAGAAGATGGATGGTTTGAAAGAGGTGTCAAGGAAGCATCTACACCAGGGTGGAGAAGCCGTCATTGAACAGAGGAGGGGGTCTACGCCACCACTTATCCCCCACTTACAATGCTGTCCTTTCATCACTTCCCAGGAAACTCAACAAACGTAACCTATTGGCCTCAGGTGAAGATACCAACGATGGTCGTTCAGTCTTGGCCACAGGTAGTCTTAACGACTGTAACGACTGTTGTCACAGCAACAAGAAACACTAACGAACCAGCAGTATCGACAACCCGGGCCAACGACCCCACTGAGGTTAAATAGCTGAGTTTCCCTGCCAGTCAGTCAGAACTGAAGAAGTCCTTTGGATGAGGAACGAAACGTCTTCCAGTATCTTCAACCAAGTCCAGTTGCCCTTGATTTTAACCTTCGTTGGATAACTATGACCTGGATGACTGAGAATCTTCATAGACAAGATATAAAGTATTATATCCACACACAGGTGTCATTTACCCTGAGGACGCTGGGGGACATGTCCCCGTCACTCGCTTGAAAATGTTAAGAAATGAAAAAGGTTTGAGAAAAGTTTATTTGCACAATAAGAAAACATGCGCTGCAATTTAAATACAGAAGAATCAAATGTGCATTGTTTGAAAAATTTTAACAACTAAGCAACTTTGAGCACAAAATTAACCTGTCAAAAGATATTTGATGAACAGTTTGGCCAATCAACACTGTCAGGAAATGAAATGATAAAATCTCAAATACTACACTGGAGTCGGCTTTAAAGCTGCTCCTGAAGGTCCAGTCAGCTCTGCTGAGTCCCACATCCTTACAGAGACCTGGTCCAGGATCAAGCTCTCGGCGGGCGGAGATGGACTCTGTGTTCAGATGCAGTCAAAATAATGTCAGACTGTGAAGATGAAATATTATCACTTTAATTCTGTTGCTGCCGTTTACAAATTCAACCAATGCCCTGCAGAAGTATTTCCTGGATGTTTACATGAAAATAACTAAAATATAATAATTTATTTTACCCTAATACACATTTAATTATGTGTAAAGTTCTGTGTGAGCAGCATGAAGTGACGGCACACTTTCATTTTGGAGTACAACCAGATTTATTAGCAAGTAGTTCTTGTTTGGGCTACTAGGTGCGTCACAACAGTAGATATAAACCTACATAAATATAAAGATATCTAAAAATATGATATTGACAAAATATATAAGTTGTGAGGAATAATAAGTAATAATGAGCAATAATGCATTTAATTATCTACATGTGCAATAAAAGACATTAACAGGGTGTACTGCAGATGGGGGCTGGGGGGGCTTTAGAGTCAGTGGCAGTCCCAGCTCTTGTTGATGAGGCTGCAGATGGGAAGAAACTGTTGGCTTAAGGTTTTGGTCCTGGTGGACCGCAGTCTCCCACCTGAAGGTGGACTCATCCCCCAGTGAGGGAGGTGTGATCTGCACACTGCAGGAGGTCGACGGTGGCCTGAGGAGCAGCTGCTGGTGTAGTGTTGTGTAATGTCCATCGTGTCTTATATTTACAGAATGCTCAACTCATTATCTCACCTGATCTCGTTCATCCAGTCCCTCCGAAAGACGGTGAGGCCACTTCCTTGTTTTTGTTGTTGTCTGAAGACATTTGGGTTTAAGATCAAAAGATGAGACAAGAGTTCAGAATTTCAGCTTTTATTTCCTGGTATTCACATCTGGATGTGTTAAACAACTCAGGACGAACCACCGTTTGTATTAGACCACAGCGTTCTGAGGTGAGCAACAGTAATGGAACAAATAATCTTAAAGTAAATAACATTTAATATTTGGTGGCAGAACGTTTGCTTGCAGTAACTGCCTGAAGCCTGCGACCCATCGACATCACCAAACTGTTGCATTCTTCATTTGTGATGCTGTTCCAGGCTTTTACCGCAGCTTCTTTCACTTCTTCTTTGTTTCGGGGTGTTTCTCCCTTCAGTCTCCTCTTAAGAAGGTGAAATGCAGCTCTGTTGGGTTCAGGTCAGCTGATTGACTTGGCCGGTCTAAAACCTTCCACAGTCCTTTGTTTGTTGGCAGTGTGCTTTGGCTCATTGTCCTGCTGCAGGATAAACTTCCTCCCCATTAGTTTCAATGCATTTCTCCGGAAATGTTTCTGTCCACTTCTGAATTCATTCTGCTGCGACCATCATCAGTTCTATCATCAATAAATATTAATGAGCCTGTTCCAGAAGCAGCCGTGACATGACCTCCACCAGGCTTCACAGATGAGCTCGTACGCTTCGGATCATCAGCAGTTCCTTTCTGTTTCCACACTTTGGTCTTTTCATCACTTTGTTAGAGATTAATCTTGGTCTCATCAGTCCATCAGATTGTGTTCCAGGACTTTTGCGGCTCATCTCTGTACAGATTTCAGTCTGGCCTTGTGATTCTTGCTGCTGATGAGTGGTTTGCATCTTGTGGTGCGGCCTCTATATTTGTGCTCTCTGAGTCTTCATGTTGGTTTATCCTCTTTAACGGGAAATGCTGTCTTTATAGGTTTGAACCAAGAATAAAAACTTAGACTTGTCATGCAGAGATATTTAATGTTTGGACAATCAACCTAAAAGCAACACCTGGGCAACAAGAAACATCTGTCAGTCACATGTTCCAATAGCTAGTTTGTTTCTAGAATGAGAAACAAACCGCCTTGATAGTTAACGGTGAAGTTCTCCCGAGTACAAGAACTGTAGTCTAATATTAATGTTTTCTGCAGCATCAGGCCCCCCAGATTTCCTTTGATACATCTCCACACACCCTAATATACAGCATCTCAGTGAGTACACCCTCACATTTCTGTGAATATTTGATTATATCTTTTCATGTGAGACACAGAAGGTCTTGTGAGAACCGCCAGTGTGCAAGGCCCACATCGAGCACTGTTTCAGTTTACTGTCGCGAGTTCCATGACCATGCTGAAGTTCTTTATGCAACCAGTGGAGTCGCCGCCTGCTGGCCTTTTGATAGAATGCAGGTGGCCTCGCTTTCCAGACCTGGAGGTTCCCTGTTGGTTGTTATTGTGTAATTGTTGTGTAGCTGTTGTGCATTTGTGTGGTCTGGTTTGTAGCTCTCGGTTGTCCGTCTGTCCGGTTCTGCCTTCTGTGGACGTCGATGACGGGCCTCAGAAGCATGTGTGATCCAGAAATAGCAGCAGGAGGATCAGGTTCCCTGGAGCCAGTCAGTGTCAGCAGCTTCACCTCTTTTATACTTTATACAACACATTTCAACGCCGCCGCCGGCTGAACCAGCTGCAGGAGCACTTCTAAACGTGAGCAGCAAACCTGCTTCTGGTTTCTGCTGGATCTGGGTCAGACCGGAGTCCCTGGCTGCTTTCACAGTTTAGGACCTTTTAAGGTCAGGAATTTACAGCGTTCTGTCATTCAGCTCCTGAAGTCTGACGTCATACTGAGTATCTGTAATATCCTACGTTAGTGTTATCCTAATGTTTCCTCGTCAAGGCGTTTCCTCTTGGTCGGTGGCCGTCAGAGCCGTCAGCTCAGTGACTCCATCTTTTTCACATTTAGGACCTCTGGAAACTTTTCTGCCAGAATCTAAACTCAGTTTGACTGAACAACTTTTAGTGAAGTGCGACGAGCTGCTGGTTCCTGAGTGTTTCTTTAAGGGTTCCTCTTTCATGTGACTGAACACGATCATTTAACCATCAAACAGCTTCATGTTCTGAATGCAGTCGTACCTCATAAAGTCCCTCCTTTCCACCATTACACACTACGGCAAGCCCTAAAACTTAGTAGTCGCTATTTCAAAGCTACTAGTACTTATTTAATAGTTACATGTAACTATATACCTTAAGTGACGTAATTACCTTCAGTGTAACACGTTAGCTTCAGTAACACATTAGCTTCAGTGACGTTAGCTTCAGTATCATGTTAGCTTCAGTCACGTTACGTTAGTTAGCTTCAGTCACGTTAGCTTCAGTCACGTTAGTTAGCTTCAGTCACATTACGTTAGTTAGCTTCAGTCACGTTAGCTTCAGTCACGTTAGTTAGCTTCAGTCACGTTACGTTAGCTTCAGTCACGTTACGTTAGTTAGCTTCAGTCACGTTACGTTAGCTTCAGTCACGTTACGTTAGTTAGCTTCAGTAACACGTTAGCTTCAGTGACACGTTAGCTTCAGTGACACGTTAGCTTCAGTGACACGTTAGCTTCAGTGACACGTTACGTTATTTAGCTTTAGTCACGTTACGTTAGCTTCAGTCACGTTACGTTAGCTTCAGTCACGTTACGTTAGTTAGCTTCAGTAACACGTTAGCTTCAGTGACACGTTAGCTTCAGTGACACGTTAGCTTCAGTGACACGTTACGTTATTTAGCTTTAGTCACGTTACGATAGCTTCAGTC